GGAATTACTTATGTGCTCTAGGAGTTCTGTGTCTTCATTTTTGTTTAATTGTTTATTTTACCACCGAGAACGCACGTAAGTTTTGTAGTGAACTTATCAGTTTTCCAAATGTTCCAGTAGGAATATGTAAATTGTTTTTACAGCCGCCGAAAGCGTAGGCGAATTAATATTTTGAGAGTTCAGCGCCGTTAATTAATTATTAATATATTTTAGTTTCCCAATAATAAGTGAAAACAAGGATATAAACAGTCCCAGATCGAGGTGTTTACACGTTATCAGTCTTGCAGCGTGAACGTGTGTATATAACTACAGTAGTTGTTGTGCCGGGAAAATTCCAATTAGGCTTAGGTGTTAATTGGATTAGTGCGTAGTGAAGTTTGCACGCGTCTAGTTGAGTAAGCATAACTAATGACAGACGTTTTAGTGCGTTGCAGTGAACGTGATCAGAATCCGTCGTGAGAGGTGTCTCTGGATGCGCTCTAATTTTTTTGCCATATTTTTCCGATATGCAAAGACAATAAACGAATGAAAATTGGTTTCAATCACAATAAGCCATATGAAATACATTGTAAACTTCGAGGCAAAAATGCAAGATTGGTTCTCAAATGAAATACTAAGTGTTCAGTATCATTGATTTTATAATTTTTTTCTCTATCGACTGACATAACAAACCAATATGGTATCCATTTATAATAAGGAAGTTGATGTCAATATCGCCATTTTGAAAAAAAATTTCTGCGTCCATTGAAATTATCCTATCTAACCTTGCAACTTTTATTTGAAACTTTTTTCGATAGCTCTCTTTGTTACTAAAATATTTTAATTTTCAAAAAATGACGATTTTCATTTTTTTTCCAATTATCTACGAAACGATTTATTTTTTTTTAAATATCAGAATACCAATCAGCAGCAGAAACTACACAACTTCGCCAATTTAACCGAATCTGTAAGTATAATATTTATTTTATTTTATTTATTTTTTTATTTATTTATTTACATGCTTTACAACAGGTTACATGTACCCAATTACAGTAAAGCAGTTTAAACAATAACATTAAGACGAACAAACATGAAGTGAATATAAGTAAACAGAACAAGTATATGAAAAACAGAGAATAAATATTCTAACTCAATTTAATATTAAATAAACAAAAATAATTGTAAAAATTTAGTACAAGTTTGTGAATGTGTGTGTATGAATAGCATAAATGACGAAGAAGTGCATGGAGGTGTGGGCATGGTAAGACGCAATGAAGTTTTATGTTTAAAGAAGTGACTTACAATGTGATATAAACGTTGAGAGATTATAACGAAAAATGTCAACCTTGCCAGACAAGGTACAGATTTGATTGTATAGTCGCTGCATATCTATCAATGGCGAAAAAATAAGTAAGTTTGTGCGTAAGTAAGGTATATAAAACAGTGTATGGGTACGACGAAGAAAAGGTGAAACATGAAAATTAATTTGCGCCAGATTTTCGGGGTTAGCAATATTCCCATGGAGTAACTTGTGCAAATAATTCAATTGGGAAAGTTCATGCCTCTTTTTAACACATTCCATATTAAAGGATGACAGCAGTTCAGCGTAAGGTATGAGATATGAGTATTGTCCGCTACGTTTATAGTTGAGATACCTTAGAAACTTCTTTTGTACCTTTTCTAGGCTGTTCCTATGGGTGAAGGAATGAGGCTTCCAGACAATACATGCATAATCCAAGTGTGGTCTAACAATGGCAGAAAATAAAGACTTTAAAGTGTGTTCTTTAGAAAAGTTGGCAGCTTGCCTTAAGATAAATCCTAAGTTTCGGTATGCTTTGCCTACACTGTTTTCTACGTGTGCAGAGAAAGTTAACCTGTGGTCCAGTATTACACCTAAGTCCTTTATTTCCAAAATGCGTCGTAGCTCTTCCCCGTTCATGGAATATTCATACGTTATGGGAGCTATCTTTTTTGTGAAGGTAAGAACTGAGCATTTGGAAACGTTGAAAGACAATTTATTATGCTCCAACCAAACATTTACAGCATCTAAATCATTTTGTAGCTCTCGACAATCATTTACGTCAGCAATGGCTTTAAATAACTTTAAATCATCTGCATATAACAGAATATTGGAATTCTTTACCACGTTAACGACATCATTTATTAATAGATTGAAGATAACGGGACCCAACACAGAGCCCTGTGGGACTCCCGACGTGGCGATATACTGCCTAGATGTAAATCCCTGGAACCACACGTATTGACTCCGATTTGTAAAATAGGATTTGAAGAGGTGTAGCAAATCCAAAGATAAGCCATAATATTTTAACTTAGATATAATGATAGAATGGTCACATCTATCAAAGGCCTTCGCCAGATCCGTGAAGATGGTGTCAACGCTAATACCTTGGTTCATACTGCTGGAAACAAATTGCGTGAAGTTGACCAAGTTGGTGACAGTGGATCTACCCGAGATGAATCCATGTTGGCTATCGGAGATATGTCGCAACGCATGTGAGAGAACCTCTTTTCTCAAGACAATTTCAAAAATTTTCGCAGGTGTTGAAAGTATAGAAATCGGCCTATAATTACACGCGGAATTTCTATTCCCTTTCTTAAATATAGGCGTTACCTTGGTGGTCTTCCATACATCAGGAAAGGTATTCGACTTAAGGCATTTGTTAATTATGATACACAGTGGTTTACTCAACAGTTCTGAGTGTCCTTTGAAAAAATACTGTGGAATGAGATCAGGACCCATTGATTTTTTAGATTTCAAATCTTTCATAGCTTTTAGGACTGTGCCCTGGTCAACTTCCTTCAACGTAATCACATCTGTGTGTACTAGGTTACTGTTATTATGAAGGCTGTCATAATAATCCTTGTTTGATGGAGATGGCAGGTAAACAGACTCAAAAAAGTTAGCAAAATTATTTGATATTTCAGAACCCGTTGACGCAACAACACCATTAAACTCAACTTCATACACCTGGGAAGTTTGCCTCCTGCAGTGCTTCACGTAGGACCAAAAGCGATTAGGGTCACGCCCAATTTCATTTTCAA